TCTGTCATGAAACCAATTACACCAAATCAAGAAACTACAAAGTGGATAAGTACAAGAACAACCTCAAAAATACCTATCGAATGATTTTAAGCATTGCAATACTTTAATCAACACTTTTGAAATTTCGCCAATAGGACTTTATGATTCTTTCAATTTATCTCAAACTAAAATAAACTGGCGTGACGATTTTAGATTTAGCTTAATCAATTCTGTGATAGCATCTACTTACGCAATATATTGTGACAGAAATAAAGCTTGACTCTAGTTTTTATATTATCACATCATCTTTGTACACATTCATAATGACGAGCATTGATGTTAAATTATCCATTATTTTAATCTTTTAACTATTATAATAATCGATCATTTTATATTTAATTGTAATTTTTTTTTTATTTACATTTTGGCTTATGAAGAAATAAAAGAGTTCTCATTATTATTATTCTTCTTCTTCTTCTTATTATTATTATTATTTTTAATTATTAGTACCGTTAATAAGGACAACTTATCAACTAATAATAATAATAATAACAACAACAACAATAATAATAATAATATAAGTAAATAATATAAGTAAAAATAATAATAACAAAAAAACGAACAGCAGTAATATTAATATAATAATAATAATAATGATAATAACAAAAACAATAATTAAAATTTACAGTTTCTGCGTCTGTCAGATCCTTATTTTTAAAGAATAATAATAATAATAATAATAATAATAATAATAATAATAATAATAATAATAATTGTTATTTGTTTTTAAAAACTTGTTGCGGCGAGTATTATAATGCAAATGCGAGCACCGAGCGATGTAAATATACGCAGGGTTCATTTAATTGCAAAATATTATTTTTATTATTTCTGTTATTGTTAATATTATTATTATTATTATTATTATTATTTTTATTATTATTATTACTATTATTATTGTTATTGTTAAGTTTATTGTGTTGGCCACTTTTGTTATTATTATTATTATATTATTATTATTATTGTTAATATTATTTTTATTGTTGGGATTGTTATTAATGTGCGTTTTGAAAAAATGCATGTAGAAGATTTTTCCTTTTTAAATATGGAAAAATTTTATTTTTCTAAAAAATTATTCTGAAAAATAAATATAAAACTTCATTGTTATTATACAACTGATACTCCTACTAGAAAATATTACTATTACTAGCGCCATCACTACTACTACTATTACTATTACTACTACTACTACTACTAGTAGTAGTAGTAGTAGTAATAGTAGTAGGGGTAGAAGTGATAGTAGTAGTGGTACTAGTAGAAGAAGTAGTAGCAGCAGCAGCAGCAGTAGTAGTAGTAGTAATAATAATAGTAATAGTAGTAGTAAAGTAGTATTAGTAGCTGTAAAAATAACAGTTGTATTTGCAGTAGTAGTATTAGTCTTGAAAGATCAATGTTACATCATTATGACGAAAAATTAATGTGGCTGTGTTTGTTATTAATT